CTCATTTATTCCATATATGGGGCAGATATGAAATAAAACTGGGCTTGAGGTGCCCTCTAGTGCTAATAGATTGACAACACATCTACAGTGCAAAACTGGATTTAGGGGCACATATAGTGCTGAAAGAGCAGAAATACCCATAGGCAAAGAGAAAATTAAGAGACCATTAAGAAATCCTGAAAGGATAAATAGAAAAATCAGGTTATATCTAAACCCTTCATTTCCCAAATGATATCAGAAGAAAACCAATAGGCATCAAGAACTTTCAAGGAAGAGTAACATTACTTCATGGTCAAAATAACACAACAGGAAAAGAGCACATGGTAACCAGTATGGGTGAACACAAGGACAGAGAATTTTAAAAAGCTGCGTTAAGAAAACTCAAGGAGCTTCAAATACACACACACACACACACACACACACACACACACACACGTGCATGTGCAGGGGCGCACATATGGGGGGGTGAGAGACAGAGAAACAGAGAATTCAGCAAAGAATTTAAGAGAATGAATTAATTTTAATAATTAAAATTATTGTGCTAAAATTAATACATTTTAATTAGCCATAGAACAGTTCACTACCAAATTATATTGAAGAAGAATTAGTGAAATTACAGAGAGGTGGACTGGGAATTTACAGCTGGAGGAGGATAAAGAATGAAGAGAAACAGAAAGTAAATATTTGTCGTTATTTTTCAAGAGGAATATGAGAATGTCACCTAAGTGAACTGCTTATGTTACATAAATAATAACAAAAACATTTACACACCTAGAGACACAGTTAGGTGAATGGTAACCAGTCAGATATAATTCAGAGAGTTTTTTTTCCAAATTGAGAGAAGAGAATAAGTAAGATGAAAAACTGAAAAAACAAAAAGCTCATCTGAATGAATAACAATATAGACAAATGCATAATGCTCTAATATTATAAACATACTTCAGAAGTCATATCATTTGTGTGAAGATTAAGGAATAAAACATTTAAAATAATACAATCATATGCTACGATATAGGCTATGGAGAAACTTGGAAAGTGGGTCCTCAAAAGTTCAAACTGTTGGAAGGAATGGAATTCAAATAAATAGATTTACTTCATATTTCATTATGATAAGGAATCAAAATCAAGGCCTAATTTCTAGGTAACTTTCGTCAAGGGTTGTACCATTGAGTTATACCCTAGCCCCAGAAAACAAAAGCAAAAAAAGACAAATGAGATTGCATCAAACTAATGCACTTTGGCACAACAAAGGAAATATTCAGCAGAGTGAAGAAAACCTACCGAATAGGAGAAAAATACTCAACAACTATTCATCTGGCTACATATTAATATCCAAATTATGTAAGAAACTCCAAACAATAATCAAAGACATGTATACATCTTAACTGCCCATAAACTGATGAATGAAAGAAAAATTTAGTAGAATAATGTTAACATTCTGATTTTTAAAGTGGATGAGGAAACTGAGCATGATAGTTCCTAACGTTAGCCTAAGACACTTAGGAGGCTGAAGCAGGAGGGTCACTTAAGTTCATAAATTCGAGGCCAAGCCATGTAACACAGTGAGACCCAGCCAACAGCAAAAGAAGCAGGAGAAGAAAGAAGAAGAGAAAGGAGGGAGTGAAGGAGGAGAAGAAAAGGTAACAGGCCATAGACCAATAGGCCCAATAGACATTTTTCAAAGGAAAACATACACTTGGCTCACAGGAAGAAGAAAACAATCACCATGGAAACAAAAATAAAAAACACAATGAATAATTATCTCACAACAGTAATTATCTCACTCCAATTAGAATGTCTGTTATCAAAAGCACACTCTTCACGCCGTTGTTGAGTATGTAAATTATTATGGCCATAGTGGTAAACAATATGGAAATTTCACCTCCCCAAAAAACTAGAAATAGAACTTATTGTAACACTATGCAGAATATCTAGGAAATGGATGCAACCAAAGTGTCCATCAACAGAAGAATGGATAAAGAAAATGTGATCTTCAATGTATTTGTATTTTTGGTTTCTCATATAAGAGAAACTGTACAGGGTCTGGGATGTAGCTCAGCCCTAAGTTTGATTCCTGGTATCAAAAAATAGAGAAGACACCATATTTCAGCTTGGGTGTCTGATTTATTTTACTTAACGTTATGGTTTCTATTATGAATCCATTTTCCTACAAATAATTCAAATATGTCTTTCTTTAAAGCATACTAAAAAATTAAAGAAGGAAATTAGAGTATGCACCTGTATTTTTAAAATGCTAGAAGAAAAAAAATTAATGTCTTTTACCACGAACAATGAATTCTTGAAAACATAGATATGATTGGCCTAAGTAGATTGTTACGCAGTGCATGAACAATAATGCCTTGGATCATGACTGCTTCTGTTGCAAACAATTCGGTTCACAGACAAAAGTGTTGGCTAAAATTTTGCTTCCATTCACAAACTCCACACCGGGTGACAAACATGACCATGGCCATCTTCTCCACACAAACACAAATGCAGCCGTTTGTCTGCAAATTGTAAGGCACATTAAGTTTGTAAACTGAGCTACCACTGTATCTGTCAAAACATCACTTACCACCATTTATAAGTGTCTGTTAAAGAACTCTGGAAGACAATTTAAAAACTGTATTATTATTTTTCTTTTATGATTTATATATAGTATTTGTACATATTTATGAAGTCCAATATTGTCATTCATGCCTGCTTTTTCTTAAATCTAGTTTAAGCGATTTTTCCAACAGCAGTATGCTTTTTTAAACATTTTCCATGTTGATACATATGGTTGGTTTCATGGATTTTTTTAAATTATTAAGTTTATTGGTACATTTTAAGTATACAATATAATTACATTCATAATTGGAAATTTGTACCTTTAAATGATATATCTTGATTCTTATTCCCCCCCACCCTCCCTTCAACCCCTCCACCCCTCCATTTATATCTATATTTATTGTAGGAAGATCTAAAAGAATAGCTGGGTTGAATGGAACATCTATTTTTAATTTAAATCTCCAGACTGTTCTCCAAAATGATTGTGAGTTTACATTTCCATCATTAGTATAGAGTGGTTCCTTTTTCCCAGAGTTGCACCTGCATTTGTTATTTGATTGCTCAAAAATAGTTATTCTTTCTGGAATAAGATGTAATCTTTATGTTATTTTTGTTGTTCTTGTTTCATTGTTTTTGGCATCGGGGATTGAACTCAGGACCTTGCCCTTTCGAGGCAGGCAGTGGGACCACTGAACTAAATCCTTGGCCCTCTGTTGTTTTAATTCACATCTTTTTACCTGTCAGAATTGTTGAACATTTTTCTATGTATATTGGCCTTTTGTATTTCTGAGAAGTGTCTATTTCAGTTGCTCATTTTTTACTTCATAGTTTGTGTTGTTAGAACTTGGCTTCGTTATTGAAGTGGCACATATACAATCATGAATGAATAGCATCTATTTGAAAATGAACTTTAAATCTCTAATTAGCACAAATTAAGGACCCTAGTCTTTTTCATTTGCAATCACAATAATTTCTCCACAAAAATTAGTGAAATAAAAATCTCCATAAGTGTGGTAGCAAGTTTATGCCTTTTTCTGAAGCCAAAAACACTCTTCCCAATGATAATTTTTGTCTAAAATATGGTGGATCAACACTAGCTTTTAAATGTCATTTTCATGGGAAGTCCTGGATGTCGACTTGTTCCTTTTAATTCAAAAATTTAAAAGAATCTAATTAGAAAGGATGTTACAGTTCATCTTAGGAGGGCTATCTCAACAAAATCAGACTGTCTGCAGGATCAATTCTGAACATGGATTTTCTGAGGCTGAATGTAGAATTACAAAAATAGCACCAAAAAGACCTATATATAAGAGAGCTATTGAGATAAATTTATTGTTATTAAAAAAGTTATTGTTATTTATATTATTAAGATAAAGAATGTTTTCCCAATATTGACCAATGGTATGGTTTCTCTCCAAATGCTTCTTAGTATAATTTTATTTAGATAGTACAGTTAACAAATTTAATGAACATAAACATGTTTTTAACAGTGATGTGCTTTCATTAGTCACTTTTTTATACATACATTTTCAGACTGTTCAATTAATTTGCACTAAATTATGTTTTACCAAGTTGTAGAATGTTCTAATCCTTTTGTTAATGAAGGAAACAAGGAAATCATGAACAAGAAACTCAAATAAAACATCTACTAAATAATCAGTCTGTAAATAAAAATCTCCTCAGGATCTGCATACACAGGATCGAGTTGGTGGAATTTAAAAAATATTGCCAGTACTTTGTAATCTATAATTAAAATTGAGCATAATATAGTATTCCACTTCATAACATAAGGGTATGATCATATCTGAGTGATTTTTACTACATAAGTTTTCAGAGAACAAGTTAAAATAGCACCACATAAAGGAAAATAATTTGAGAGGCATAGCTTATATCAAGGAAAATTTTTTTCGACCTATTTTAGTTTGTAAGAAATTAATTTGAAAGTTTTTTTCAAAATACTAATTAGTTGTTGAATGGGTTGTAAATTTATTACATTAAAATTTCCCTATTCCATCATAGAATGATATATTCTGCATTGGTGGCCTGTGTATTGGCATGGAGGGCTCATATAGATTAATGGAGGCAGCAACAAGGAAAAGAAATAAAAAAAGAAAACGAAAGAAAGAAAGAAAAAAAAAATAGAGATTTACAAAGAGAAGAAATCCAGAGAAAAAGAGATAGTGGTCCTTGAAAGTCTTCCTTTTATTTAAACAGTAGGAGCTAACATGGCAGATTTCACCTACAGTCTTTAATTTTTCTGTAATCCAAATAGAGTTTATTTTACCTTCTTGATGCTTCACCAGTATTGAAATTCCATTAATGATGAAAATTATGTCTTCTGAAGATCTTTCAAGTTTAATTTTGAACGGTATGTAATATTTCTTGAAACATTAATAACTCTTCATGAAGCCTAAAGTGAATTTAAGATATTAAAAAAACTCTTTTGGGCTAGTTCTTGATGGAAAAAAAAAAAGTGATTAAAACAATTAACACAACACGTGACCCGCGGTTGACACTTCCGGGTTGGACCAGAGTGAGGCTCCTGGGCAGGGGCTGGCAGCTCCTGCGGCCATCATGTCGTATCACGGCCTCATGGTGCCTTTGGGTGTGATAAGTGTGTTCTGGGGCTTCGTCGGCTTGGTCGTGCCCTGGTTCATTCTTAAAGGTCCCAACCGGCGGGTTATCGTCACAGTGTTGGTGACCTGTTCAGTTTGCTGCTGTCTCTTTTGGTTGATTTCAGTTCTGGCCCAAATCAACCCTCTCTTTGGACCACAGTTGAAAAATGAAACTAGCTGGTATCTGAGGTCTCGTTTGCCTTGAGGAAGAAGCCGCCCTCCGTGGGGCCCGGTCATTGAGGTCACAAAGGAAATTCCTTCTAGATGCAAAAGCACCTCCAAACTCAGACCGCCTTCTTTGACTCGCCTATTTTTGGCATCAGCTGCCTTAAATTAAGTTCACACCTTGTTTGAAGATCTTTTTCTGCAATGCAGTATTTTTTCTTTCATCTTTTCATTTTGATGAAAGATGTGCCTCCTTAACCTAAGCTGTGCCAACTGTACAAAATGTATATGCACTCTTCTGAGGGAGAAGGTGCTGTTTTTCTGCACTCTGTTACTCTTGCCTTGGCATCTGCGGATTAGAATGAAGATAGCTCCTGACAGCTCACAACATAGGAATCAGCAATGTGTTGGAAAATGGCTGCAAGACAGATGAAATTCCAGTGGGGCTGTCCGTTGGAGATTGTGCTCAGAAAGATCTGTCCCAGAGAGTTTACAGCAAGTTATATTTTTAGGATGAATTTCTTAGGCTTGCCTTCTTTTGAGTATTTTTCTGCTTTCTATGAAAAAAATTAAAACAAAGCAATGTGTTCTACTTATGAAAATCATTGAACAGAAACATATATCTCAGCATAGCAGGAGAAAATGGGCAGCATGTATTTCAGGAGAAAAGAGGTTTTATATCAAAAAGGAGAAGAAAAAATGTTTCCTTATTGGATGCAAGAAGCAACTGCCTTTGCATAATATTTTCTTTGACATTTTGGAAGTACAAATATGAACAATCTTTCAAAGGACTGCCGTGTATTTCTTCTGTGCCAACTGTTTTTCACTGCAGTAGGATGTGGAGTATTAGTGTCAGTTAAAAACAGTAGTTTTTTTTGTTGTTGTTCCTTTTCTAAAACAGATTGTGAAGTCCAAAAATAAGTACAAGAGATTAAAATGGACAAATAGTGGAGTTGTGAGGAAAAGTAAAAATGAACCATTACAATAAAGTCTGAGTAGCATCATGAAATAACCAAATGGACATGGGAATGGATCAAAGTTTTAAAAAAATCTCTAGGCCAGGGAGTTGGCTCAGTGTTTCTGCCACCGGAGTTCTATCCCAGGTACAAAAATAATAAATAAATAAATAAATAAATAAATAAATAAATCCCCCAAAACCTTTTGTGTAATATAAGAGAATGGCTACCTTGGCTGAAATCACCGACTCAAGCATTTTAATCACACCCCATGTTGTAGTTACTTTATCAAGAACAAAAATTATTTCCAGAGGCATTGAGGACAATCTCTGTTACATTTCAAAATGAGCTTAAAGAAGGTAACCATATCATGCTACTTGAATTTTTTTTCTGGGAAAAAGGTTCATATTTTCATGAATTCATATTCTTTTGTTAGTAATGATAACTATTTGAATGAGATAATTTCTTCTTTCACCTTAAGAAACAGAGTCAAAATATATATAATTCAGATTCTTGGAATTGGTGCTCCTAATACTTTCAAAACTACTTTCTTTTATTTTGCTTTTACTCCTGGTTTTCCTTATGTTTTATATTGAACATAATAGTCTTTTGGAGATAGATACGGTAGCTTCAACAAGTCGTCTTCCAACAAGCTGTTTCATAGTTTAGCAGTTTACCTTTCCTCCTCGCTTCTCAATTTCTTTCTTTCTTGTTTTGTTTTTGTTTCTGGATCAAACTCAGGACCTTGTGCTTGCTAGGCAGGTGTGGTGCCACTGAGCTAAATGTCCAGCCCTCAATTTCTATAACATACACATATTTTTACAATCAATGCATTTTATGTCATTACATTTTATCATAGTATTTGTACACTTTTTTGTTATTCTGTGAAATTACATCTTTATATCACATACCTTCCTATTGAGTGTGCCGACAGCTTAGGTAGCGGAACTGGGCAGATGGAAGAGAAGTCAGAACTGGCCAAAAAGACTCAGGCAGAAGGCAGAGTTTCACTGTCATGTATAAGGTTTCTTGTTGCTTTTCTAAATCATCCAAGAAGTAGAAAAATTGCAGAAAAAAATTTTAAATGAATTGTGGAGATGGGACAAGAGAATATATAGTTAGTTTGCTATGTTTGGAAGTCTGATATTGTGATCCAAGAATCGTATAAATAGCTACTAAAATAAGAAAGATGGAGATTCATGAAACATCTTCAACTCACTAAGAGGTAGAAACAGAGCAGTATCAACATCTGCAATTGTGTGTGTGCGTGTGCTTTGGATCGCTTCTCTCTCAGCTCTGTAATCACTGTCCAGTGGAGCTACAACAACAGCACTCAATTATATTTTTTAATAACCTGATCTTACTCTAAATCAAAGTGTAAAAACTATTGATGAATAAAACATTACTTTTAGGAAAACTATTCAACACATATCCATATAAGGAATCCCAGGAGAAATACTACTCAATATAGAAAGAAATAGCGGAATTCTAGAATTAATTAAACAACATACAAAGTCATGTGAATGGAGAATAGTACTGAAAGGCCTATTTTAGGCAAGATAAAATATATTTCCATAGATATGAATCGATATTAATAAACTGTAGGTAAAAATCAAAAGTAATTTCGTAAAATAACTGATATTATTTTGTGGACTTTATTCTATGTACTTTCAACACATGCTACACAATTTTCATATAAAATTTCCATTATACAATTTTACAAAATTTTCACATTCTTGCATATGTTTCAATATATCCAGTTTTCATGTTAAGAGAGAGAAGTAATTCATGTGGAAGTGTTTAGAATTTTCTATTGATCCTTAAAAAAAATATACTGTAATCAGGCCTATACAGTTTTAAGTATTTTTCATGCACTTTTTCAACAGCAAATATTGACACAAATCCTATTTTGTACATGAAAATGCCTGCAGTTTTACATTTTAATATATCTACATTCTCCAAATGTATCTGTTTAGAGCTCATAAGTACAGACTTATATGTATTCATGTTCCCATACCAAACCAAAGCTAACCAAAAAAAAAAAAAAAAAAAAAAAAAAATTAAAAAAATTTACAGGAAATTATTATAGGGATTCTTATAGGAATTCCTCTGTGAAGAAACTGTCTCCATATGTGGATACCAAGAAAGAGAATACTGTGTAGTTTGTCTTTCAAGATCATGATCTTTTTTTTTTTTTTTCCTTTCAGGTAGCAGGGATTGAACTCAGGACCTTGCTCTTGCCAAGCAGGTGGCGCCACTGAGCTACATCCCTGGCCCAAGATCATGAAAATATGCCCAAAGAGGTATAAGAAAAAATCTGAGTACAATGCAAGAAAAGGCTATGTGAAAACATAGCTGTTCCCTGAAATATAGTATTTGTTTATTGAAGTGATAAGGTGAAGTTAGGAAAGGTCTTATGGGCTGCAATTTCAGATTAACTTAGCCCTTGAATCCTTAAGCAGTATATGGTACAACATGTAAATCTACCTGAAAAAAAGTGGCATAATTTAAGTGATGTATAAGAAACATAATTTGTTTGATACCTGGTAAAAAAAAGAAAAAAAAAGAAATGCAACCTGGAAAAAATATGGAGCTATGTTTAAATAAGCTACATATTTGATTCACAGAAATTATTTTCAATAAACACATAAATAAGCAAAATATTTAAAGTGTTGTCCAGAAATGTTGCATTGGTAATGCTAGTGCATGAAAACGATGAGACAGGATAGGAGTTCATGAAAAGTTATTTCTAACGCAGCATGAAATTTTTATCTCAACGGTTAAATGAAGCAGAAAATAGAAAAAATAGATGCAACAGATAGGAAAACCTGTGTTCCATTTGGAGTATATTAAAGTTTGAACTGAATAAAACACCCAAGTGCTTGGAAACAGTACTGCAGTCAAGGAGAAAAGACAGTACTGTCTATATTTTAAATATTGGTAATCATGGGTCAGGGATTTAGCTCAGTGGTTCCACTGCCTGCCTCTTAAGTGTATGGTCCCAAGTTCGATCCCAGGTACGAAAAAAAAAAATTAAATGTTGGTAATCACAACCACATATTGTAGTTGAAACTTTTGAAATTTTGAGATTGATAAGATGACAGATTTAGAGGAATGCAGAACGCATGATGGCAAAAATAGGTATATGTCAGACAGAGTGAGAAGGAATAAAATGAGTAATCAATACAGAAAAAAATTATGACATAAGAAAATCAATAAGATAATGGTATATGGGTCAGAGATTGAGCTCAGTGATTTCCCTGCCTGCCTTGAAAACACAATGTTCCAAGTTAGATCCCCTGTACCAAAAAAAAAAAAAAAAGGTATAATCAATGAAAAATTAGACAGTTGTAACAATGAAAAAGTTTTCAACATAAATTATAGAAGATAACTTTGAGATCAATTTGTAAAAATTGATATAATGATATAATGAGTATTAAAAGTAATAGCATATATTTTTGAATAATAATATATGATATAAGCATGCAAATATATATATTCATGAATCTTCAATAAGGACCTTCATATAGACATAGGACCTTCCAAAGTATGTACCTTAGGAAACTTTAAAGTTAGTCTATTTCTAGGTTTTTCTCACTCAAAACCTGTAAAACATCCAACACTATGAAACTATCTTTTGAGACAGTGAGACATTTATGATGTATAGCCAAACTGTACATGTAAAATAGTTTCCATGTGCTGGTACATACGCGATGCTCATTTCCACAAGTAACTCAATAACCAGATATCTTTGAACTTCAGCATTATTCAGTCATTCTGTTGTCGCAGCAAAGATTTACAAAACAGTCTTAAAATCGTGTGGACTCAAGCTTATGTAACTGGGTAAAAGCACTGATTTTAGAATTCAGGGAACAGTTCCTGCTAATTATCCACATGAGTCATGAGTCACTGTCTTTTTATTGGGTTTGATTCTTCCTTTTATTAAATGAATTTTCTTTCACATGTTAGAAATCATTTTATAAGATAAAAGATATATTTTATTAATTCTATATCATAACTTTAAGCATAATTACTTTTTTATATGACAAAATTTTAAGCATGTGTACTCAAATATGTCCTGGTAATTTCTCATCTGAT